TATTGAAAGACCATCATCAATCCTACTCCTATATGATCAAATGGGTAAAAAGTTCAAATAAAATGTATTAGTTGACGATCAAGTTTCATGAAGAATAAATTCTTTCTCATGAGGCCAACTGGAGAATAAAGAAAATATAGGATTGAAAGGCTGCAAAGAGGAATAATACAATGACTTAGAGTAGGAATCTTTTTTGAAACAAATCTCGAAGCCTAGACGTTAGAAGCTGTTCAAGACTTTCTATGCGGTCCTGTCATAAAAGCATAGAACTCATCATACTTTTCTTCAAATCGCAACTACATTATCAGCGTATAGAATATAAATTCTGGTTGAGAACTAAGATTTCCACTGTCTCTTGAAATATATCATCTTTCTTGCCACGAAGCTTCTGTGGAGCTGTTTTAAACTCTTCTTCACATCCATTTTTTGCCTATAAAATTCATTAATTCTATCTAAGTAGTTAAGCAAAAACAATTTATAGCACTTGAAGATGCAATAAGCAGAGCTAAGAAATACAAAGAGCTCATAGTTATTATATAAAAAGCAAAGGTAGCAAACAGGCAAAAAGAGTAGTCTAGATATTAACAATTCCAACTCATTCAAAGCCATAAAGTTTGAAGCAGAAAAGAGGGTCAAAATGTAGAGAGAGAGATCCATTTCTCTACAGATAAAAGAGTCCCATCTTGTTTCCCGCATCATGAAGCAATGCATCATCAAAGGATTCAAAGTAAGTGATCCTGCAATAAAAAAAGAAGATCAAAACATCATCTGTAAAAGGAAGAAATAGATGGCTAAACTATTTGAATTGTAAGGTAATTCGTGTTCAACTTGTAATTAAGATCACAAAAACATCCCTTCTTGATTATCAATTCCTAACATCTTCAATGCTTGGTCTGATTATTATAGAATTTACAGCAGTCGTGTTCAACTTGTAAGATCACAAAAACATCCCTTCTTGATCATCAATTCCTAACATCTCCTATACTTGGTCTGATTATTATAGAATTTACAGCAGAGAAATGAAAATTATAGATTAAATTGTTAAAATATAGACACACTTATGTGGAAGCAAAAGGAGTTTAACAGGGCATATATACTTGGCAAACCATTATGACTAGAGGAACCAAGAAAATAGTGATTCTACGCAAAGACTTGTGATGCAGACAAGTGTAACTGCAAAGAGACCGATAAAGCAGAGAACGAGATGATAAAGATGTTTCCTTGTCTTTACGTATGAAATTGTGTTAATTATTAGTTAATTTTGGGTTAAATGACCTGATTAAAGAATTAATTGAAGCAATTAAAAACCATATGAGGGGAAAATGGGATTTTAGGGCCGACCATAATTAAGAGTTTCAGGGGTTTCGAGATTTTGATTTAAATTAGGTTGATTGATAGTGGTTTAATAATGTTAGGGAAGTTAATTAAGACTTATTGTGAATAATTACTATAGGTTAGTTATTTTCAATTCATATTAATTTTAATATGTTGATTTTAAAAATAAAAATTAATATTAATATATATTTTAACATAAAAAATTATTTAAAAAATAATTATTATTATATTATTAAAAAAAATCTCCATAAATATCCAAAATAACTTATAAAATTAATTAAGATATTTTATTTGAAATTCCAAAAAAAATATAAGGTCCGACTCATAGCTGACAAAGTACATATGATTTTAATGTCAAGTAAATGCCTGTCTTCTCATTTATTTATTTAAAATATGTGTTTGTTAGATTTTCTATGTAATTATAAAATGTGTTTGGAAAAGATTACAAAAGAAAATATTTTGATAAAAAAAAAATCATTTAAACAAGACAATTTATTTAATGTGTTAAATTTAATTATTTATAAAAAAAATATTATATATTATGTGTAAAAATCAACTGTTTGGGCATATTCTATTTATTAAATGTTAAAATAATCGGTTGAATCAAAAACTAATTATTTATGTATTAAAGTCACTATCTAGATGGAGCCGATATTTATGCGTAGAGCAAAGCACGTGTCTTGATATGTCGATCGGGATGGCCAACATGTAGGGAAGACTTCACCTTTATTAAAAATAATAATAATAATAATAATAATTGACCTGGGGTGTTACAATGACACTTGGGATTTTCAATTTTTGGTGCACCCATCTACCATCCTCCACCTTATCCCGAGGCTTTGAAGCATCAGGGTACACAGCTTCTCCAGCCTCTTTCGTCCGCCCATCAAACCCATCTGGTAACTAATTAAACCA